GTATTTTTATCCAGGGAAGTGGACACCTTTGGCTTGCCTCCTCGCTCTTGTGGAAAGTTAAGTTTCAAAAGTCGAAAAGTAGAGAGTGAAGGCGCTGGTTAAAGCCGAACTTTAATGTAACGTATTTTTATGAACTTATTGAACAGTGAAAGAATCTACCCGTATCAAATGGGAGCATTAGGGTAGCGTTTAAAACGTGAAAGATTGAATTTGCTGCAACAGAAAGAACAGCATCGCATATGTTGCAGTGGCTTGCTGAGAGAAAACGTGCATATACGAGAAAAAAGGCCATTTCAGTCCCAAATGACCCACTGCCTAATAGGTCCTCAAAAAATTAATGTAACCAATCGGTTTCCTTCCAACCGCAACAGGACGGTACTTTACGCATGTTTGTTACTCGGTCCGACAGGCCCACCGTCCCGAGATCTCTAACGTGACCGTTAAAATAAGGTCTGGCACTAAAATGATGACATTTTCAACCAATCTGAACAGGTTGGATTGATAGCGCGAGAGATGCTTCACAAAAACCACCAATCATAAACTCTGCAAAGATTTTATTCTCTCCGATGAAAGTGAATCTGAATTCAATGCCTCTGAGAAATCAATTTCGGTGTCTGTTTCGCATGAAAAGTCGTTAAAATCTTTCCTTTGATTGCCAGAAGTGGAATGTTGTGAAGGCTATCCGGCTCTGGCGATTCTTTCCATCTTTCCATCTTTCTGCCTGTCTTCATTCCTGCCCGTCCGATGTCCTGCACCATCTGTCCTCGTTGACAATCTTTCCGCAGCAGTAAGATGAGATTGCATCGTGTAAATATCTCCCGGAACCCTATCCGTCGGCAATGTTGATCGGCCCCACCTACCATTATTGGATCCACCCACCCCTCAATATACAGCATAAGGTATGCTACACCTGCTACTTGGAATGCACTTGGGTCAAAGCATTGTTTTCGAAGCTTGTAGGAGAGTGACTCGATAGATCAACCACCTAATCAGTTTACCCTAATATGCATCACACTTACGAGATAGTATTCTTCCAGAATTAAATTTCTTTCCTCCCTCTTGTCACATGTTTTCTCAATGGAACTTTTTATTTTTGCTCCTCTTACACTTTTCATCCACACTGACTTTGCTCATTTTTGTTTTCAATCCTTTCTTTTTTCTGGGCTTAGTGGGAAATCATTGCACAACTGACACTGGTACGGACAACAATCTCCCACAATTCCATATTTAAGGCACCGTATGAAAGGGAATATGAACCAGGCACAAAGCCAACGGGCAGAAGTGGCTCGAGCTCCAAAAGCAGGAAATGAAACCAAGGTAGCGTTACGATGAGCCCAATTGAGACGGTGAATACAAAGGCCGCACCGCATTCATGACGCAACTCGAATCACGCTCTGCCACACCGAGGTCCTATCCAGAAGGTCAATTCACGAAATGTTATGATAGATTCCAACGCGTTTTTCATTTGGCCGTTGACAGACACCTGTTGGGAGCAGCATCCCTTCCCCCCAGTAGCAAAATGAATTGAGAGCGACGCTCTCTATACGGTCCTGTTCTCATTGTCCTTGAACAACTCCCGAAGTCTATGGGAACCGTACCTAAATGAATCCTCAATAAAATATTCATTTTTCTGAAAGGTCCCGTCGAGTATAGCAATTTATTTGCAAGTAACACTTTAATTGGACATATAATTTAGCTGCTAGAAGGTGAGAACGTTCATTTTCAAAACGTTTGAAACATTTTTTTTTAATCATGAATCCTGACGATATCGAATACCGAACCCGATGGTGAAGGACCTACATCGGTAGAACGGGCTATTGCTGAGATAGATGATGGGATCTTCAATTCAAAACTTTTCTTGTGACTTTTCACCCTCGAGCGGCTATGAGGTAAATTAAATTAGTCCAATTTAAACATCAAAGGATTTGTTGTACTCGACAAGACCTTTCCGAAAATATGTATTTTGAGGCAGTATTGGGCATTTCCATTTTGATATCTTCCTAAAAGAGGTAGATCCATATGTTAGAGCTCCAAACGGGCTGCTGGGTGGCCCAATTTGCCCGACCCGCCCCATCCAAGAGCAATTCTTGAAAATCCATCCAGGGACGGGTCAGACCGAAATTTTCAAAATTATGCTCTAATTTTCTTATGGCCTTTGGGCTGAAAGCATGGACGATCTGTATTCGGACTTGACTTTGGTTTACGCATGCAGTTTGTGAGAATTGAATAGTTTAATGTTCTACGGTGAAGGTAGGCAAGCAGAAAGGCAGAAACCGAGCTGGAAGGTTGCATCGAGCTGACGTCACTCAAACTGCCTGGCTGGTGCCCTTTCTGCACATTTTCTCACTGGAGTCATTGCCTCATTTTACAGACGAGGAGGAATGTAATGGCAGCGCTACGGTGGTCTTGAATAGGGCGTGGCGACATTGGGATTTGGCACAGGTCCAGTTCGGGTCGTGGCCAGACGGTGAATTTCGGTCTGCAATCGGGTTTTCTATCGATTGCGGGCCGATCGCGTCTGGTTCGTCTGAACTGGCCCATGCGGCTCTACCGTAATCAATGAAACGTGCTAACCCCGAGATGCAGGGCACGAGACGAGGATGTAGAAATGTCAAATCCCGAGAGAGAGGGATCGGGCATGTCTAATCCCCGAGAGAGGAAGGATTCGGGGACGTCCCACCCCCGAACTTCAGTAATTGGACTTGAATAAGATGGACTATCCTACTCTGATCCTGACCTTGTCCTAATCGATCTCGAAAAAAGGAAAGTTGCATGTAGCCAGAGCTGGACTCTTCAAGTCGGGCAGGAAAACTCAGTTTTAGTGTCGATGGTCGGGTCTCAAATCCGAGGCTTTATTGACGAGACTTCTGAATAAATGAAAACATTTATCCGATTCCAGTACGAGGTGTCAAAACAAAATAAAACGAAACATAATTCAAATCTGGCTACAGTTTAAGTCTTCACGGATGGGAATGTATAATCTGAGGTGAGGGTAAGAGGTCGTGCACGACAAATCAAGAAGGCATCCATGAAGGCTTGTGGGCGACTCACAAAGAGCTATGCATGCTCTATGCGTAAAACAAGCTTGGGTTATGCCAGGCACTTGCCTGGTGCTGAACTGTCTGGGCCGTCACGAAAATTGTCTTACGAAATCACTTCAGTACGAGAAATGCATTTCGGAGCGGGGCAGAGCTCAATGCAATTGTAAGCCTCTTTACAGTGCACCGATGTATAGAGCAGACGAAATAATGGAGGATGATACGGGGGCGGGGAGGGAATGGGAAATGGGATGGTAGAATACGAGAGTGCGGCTTGAATTTTTCAAAGGGGAAGCAGAAACACAGGCTCAATGGGATAGGATGTTGTCAGAACAGAAGCATGTCTTGTTGGCCCGTCGACGCAGTTTGCATAACCGGAGAAAACACCTCAAGACAGGTTGGGAAAAGGGAGGGGGGGGGGGGGGGGCCAAAATGCACGTCTCACGCACTCACTTTTTTTTATATAGAGCTGAAAAACGCTGTAACTCGGCTTCTTATGTGTCAATTTAATTGAAAATTTCGTGAAATCATCTACACAGATTGGATTTGTTATGCTGTAAATTTCCAACCGATACCTTTGTATGGTGTTGTGTTTACAGGCGTGTACGCTAAGAAAGTTTTCTCTGGTCACTTGACGTTAAATGGAGTTCTCACCCCCGTTTCCGTCACTGAGAGAGGAACCAGCGGTTCCCAACCTTTTCCTCAGTGTGACCCCATTCAGACAGGTGCAAATTCTTGCAACCCCAGCATCATGCAAAGACATCAACATTCGCCTGTCGAAAATATGGCATTATAACGAATACTTTTAAATCACCATGGATATTTAGCATGATAATAAGAATCATCCTGCCAGGTGGCTTCGCGACCCCAGTTTTTATCGTCGAGACTCCAAATGTGGTATTGACCCCAAGGTTGGGAACCGCTGGTCTTGAAGTAGTTACTACCGTCCACTTCCACATTTTCCTTTTCAAATTTCATGTTTAACTATAAACTTTCTCCCTAAAATTTTTTGGAAACGCAAATGTCATGTTTATCGTGTTTGTGAATAGTGGTACATTTAGGGAATTGACTAAGGAACCTCTTTTTTTTCGAGACGGGAATGAGAGTACCACGTGTGAAAAAATCATATCTACGCTTCTCCTCAACCACTCTAAGTAGAGACTTGAAAGTCACGTAACTCTTGTAGAGAGGAGGTGTCGGCTGTCTTTTCTTCAGGTGTTCCTTGAGGGATATAGAATGTGTGCTGTTTTCAGCTTAGAAGAGGGTGAGATCCTTTATGATTATCTGCTACAGTATGATCCAATGATCTTTCCAAATAAGGATCAGAAAAGGCCCTCTCGAAGTTGTTATAATAGTATCGTATTGAGTGGCTGATCAAACTCGTAACTGGATACGAGAGACGGACAATGTTGATTTTCCTCCGAATGCCAATACAGGCAAGGAGTCATGTGCCATCTTTTCTCTCTTGTAGCCTACTGGAATAATATCGGATTTAAATCAAACTAGCCTCTCGATAGCATTTATTCTGTAGAAGTGGTACCAAACGTGTCTAAAAAATTGAACATTATATTTTGTTGGATCCCCTTGGCATTGGCAGAGCTTGACTCTTTTGCATCGAAATATCGAAGAGGCCCTATTTTCGCGTCGCCTAGTAGCTGACGGGGGAAATGTACAACACTGGAGGATCCATTGTCCGTATGACGATATCGGCTTTGGAATGGGCAGCGTTGGCAGAGAATAAGGGGAAATGAGACGATGACGCATATTGGGAGGCATTGGGTTGGTTGGGTGAATCGATCAGAAAGAGGGGGGAGTTGAGGGGAGCATGCAGAGGAGAGAGAGAGAGAGAGAGAACGAACTCAGGCCTTTATCGCAGCTGCCTCTCTCCCTCGTTTTTAAATCCCCTCCATTGCGACATGCCATGTGCTGTCTTCCATCCTGGTGAATCTTCATCATGTACTCATGGTCTCCATGCCTCCACTTCGACTTGAACGAGGTCAGTCCTCCGGTTCTTTTGCTTTTCTCGAGTCTGCTCCATCTCCGGCGAGTCTGATCGCAAAAAAAACGTGTCGCTACTGCGGTACTTCAGTGGGGAAGAGCAAGGGAAGGAGAAAAGAGGGCTTCGAAGATGGTTGGAAGAGACCCCCGCTTCCCTATGGTGCCATCGACAAGTGGACGTGGAATTCTGGGGCCCGAAGTCCCGACGTCCTTCTTTTCGGATCCGAAGGCCGAACTGCTCATTTTCACCCGGACTGGAGCAATGGAGCTGCTGCTGTCAAAGGAACCAAGGTGTTAAACATATATATGATTATACAGGGTGGGCCACGAAATGACGGTTTTTCTTTTGTTGCTGTATATGTTGGCTCCCAGTAAAGACAGCTGCATAACCGGTGACTGGGAGCTGCAATAGAATCTGGAAAATTTGTCGAGTGTATGCTTAGACATGAACGTGAAGGAACATCTGACAATGCAGCAAAATAATAAAATGTGCGGATGTACGCAGAGACGAAGAGTGTGACTGTTTCGCAATGGCACTTCAAAGCTTTTCTAGGGACAAGATGGACTCCCAAACAGGAACATTATCCTGTACCTTTATTATCGTTTTGTTTCGTGCACAGTCCCCTCTAGTTCAAATCGAAAATAAAGGTGCAGGATTATGTCCATGCATGGGAGTCCATCTTGTCCTTAGAAAAGCTCTGAAGCGTCTTTGCGATACAGTCATGCTCTTCATCTTCGTGTACATCAGCACAATTTTATTCTTTTGCTGCAGTGTCAAATGTTCCTTAACCCCTTCACTGGAGCGGACGAGCTGGTCTCGTCGTTCAGCCAGACCAGACCAACAATTTGTGTCTGAAAACGTGCCAATGAAGGGGTACCTTCATGTCCAAACATACACTCGGCAATTTTTCTAGGTCCTTATTGCAACTCCTATTCACAGGTTATGCAGCTGTCTATACTGGGAGTCAACATATAACAAAAGAAAAACCGTCATCATTTCGTGACCCACCATATGACATATTTATGATTATACGATTATATATATTTAAAAAAAAACAGTAACAAAAAGGAGCCGTTTCTGCTGATCTTTGTCAGGTGCTTAATGGAGGAAGGTATTATTGGGAAATTCGAGTGTCTCAGAGGATCTTTGGAACGAGCATGATGTTCGGTGTTGGAACTGCGAGGGCTCGATTGCACGTGGATGCCTTTGTAAATCTGATCGGAGAAGACGAGAACAGTTGGGGATTGAGCCACAAAGGCCTGTTATGGCACAACGGACGCTGGAGGAATTTCACCCGTCCCTTCCCGGAGAACGTTCCATGCCGTCTGGGGCTGTACTTCGACGGCGTGGCCGGGACGCTCACTTTCTACAAGGACGACCAGCTCCTGGGCGTGGGATTCCGGGGTCTGGACAAGGTGAAGGATGCCCTCTTCCCCATGGTGGCTTCCACGGCTGCAAAGACGGAGATGACCCTGAGCGTCTTGAAACGAGAACACACTAGTCTTCAGGACTGGTGTCGGACGGCAATCTTGAAGGAAACGAAACGGTCTGGATCGGACGGAACGAACGGCATTCGGTGTCTGGAAATCCCGACTCGACTGAAGACCTATCTCCTCGATTCCCTCGCTCCACCGCTTTAGCCTTTATTTTCGTATTCCCAGCATGATCTCATTCCATCGTGTCCCCGTGCCGCGACTTCCCCGTTTTTCACCGTGTATAGACTTCGTCCTTGGGGACCATATCGCCGATGGTTTTTGTACTCCCTAGTATTTATGAAAATCTAGCAAATCGTCTCGTGGATTCTGCCATCGTGCCATATTCCATGTCTCTAAAGTACTTCTACTCAGAAATACTCCAGGCCGAAATCGTGCAATGTCGCCGTGTATGTAGATACTGTACCATGTAGCTTCTGGTCAGCAGATCATTCTCTAGATTCACTCCAAGTTGAAATTCTTCGGTTTTGGTCGCTCAGTCGTATTCCCCGATATTCACCTGGATTACTATGTCCAGTGCGTGTCCCATGAGCCATGACCATCCGGTACACACACCAGCACGATTATTATCGGTAGTCCGCAGTGCACAATGGGACTCATTAAAGCATATCCGCCTCGAGGCGAGTATTTAATCCAGAAACGATTACATTCCTCGAGTGTTCCTGATTAGCACCAAATTAATATATTCATTCGTGTCGAATTCAGTTCCCCCGCGGGCCTGCTGAATTTTCCTTTACTTGTGATATGGGGAAGTTGGTGGGAATGTCTTCTATGCACTGACATCGATTCCAGTGATAATTCATCATGTGCATTTAAAAGTCCATATTCGTGCGTGTCTTGTCTCTGCTTCATCTCCAATTTTTATGGAATGAATTGTACCGGTAATAAACTTTTATTCGAAGGATCGATTATATTTCCGAACGATGAGAGAAGGACGGAGTCGACCCAACGCATCGATCGGACAGGGGGACCAGCAAAAAAGTACCCTGTGCGCTCAGAATGTTCAGAGGCGGGGGGGGGGGGGGGAGCAGAGACATCTATTGGATGCAGGCTCAAAACGTATCATTCCTCTTTCGCTCGATAGAGGTCTTTGCAGCCTTCGCGAGAGCTCTTTCCCAGCCTAGATTGTATTCCGCCTCTTCGAGATGCCGAATTTTCGGGCAAAGGGGCGGGGGTTAAAAGCGGTGAGAAAGATACGAGGATATTAAATCAAGAGGAAGAAAAAGAGGGGGGAAAAGAAAGGAAGAAAATAAGAGAGAGAGAAAATAAGAGAGAGAGAAAAAGGGAGAAAGAAGAAAGAGGAAGAAAAGTCGATCACTTACTCTTCTTAGGTACTTGATTGATTATGATTTGGCTGGTTGTATTGATAGTGTCTGGGGTGATAAACGAACTTTTGATACCGAAGGCTGAGAAAATTGAAAAATAAAACTAACGAAACCGAAGTGCGGGTAACGAGATGGAGTTGATTGCAGGAAGCTGAAGCCCACAAGCCCAAGACGATCGTGAACCAAGTAACCGACATTGCAGGACCGACAAGAACCCATAGATCGAGACGCGCGCCAGAACGGCGAGAGGAATTTTCGGATGAAGCCACCTCACTCGGTGTCCGTCGTCTCGATTTTTGAGCGTCTGCATTTTCTTTTAGGTCGGAAGCAGTTGAGTCGAACGATGACGGCTTTGTGACGGCTTCGTGATGCCTCACCCATTCAAAGAAACCTTTGGAATGTATGAAGCTGTTCTTTGAGATAGATCTATCCGCCCGGATGCTATCTTGTGATTTATAGACAATTATGAGAGAATTTTGGTCCCCGAAAGCACTTGATGGAAGCACGACAGAGAAAGGGAGAAGTGATAACACTGTGTTCCGGAAACGAGTTTCGCGGAAACGACCTGCACCCGAGCCCACGTTTTCTACGAAATGTCTCAAACGCCAGGTTACCGAAAAACTGAACGCCGAGATGACGTCATGCAGAATGAGATTTTCCTTCAGGAAGTGAAAAAATGAAATGCATGCGGCAAACCCTGAGCAACATGAGCTCAAGCATCAGCATTTCACGTTGCTTTACGATACGCCAAAGAAAAAAAAAAGGAGAATCCCTGCAACCCCTGCAACATCTGCAACCCCTGCAACCCCTGCAACCCCTCTCGAGAATTCTTCTGTGATTTCGTGACCCCAATCCTTTCAATCATTACCTTCAATTTGTGCACGTTTGTTTTGGAAATTGCTTCAGATCTATTTAACAATTTCCCTTCTACTTAATGATGATGCATGGGTGATGATGTGTGAGAATCAGCATCCATGCACGAGATGATGAGATGAATGTCCTCAATTCCCTCATCAATGAATTCCCTCCTGTATCCTCTGCACTGCTGGGGGGGGGGGGGGCCCTTTCTTTCATGTTAACTCTCATCACTCTTTCAGTTCAAGTTTTAAAGTTTGCGTAGAAATTTGCTCATTCGTCCAACATCATTGAACATGAAGCGGCCGTTGGCTTACATCGCTTTCTCGATCTAAGCTTTTTTTTCTCTCACGGTCTAATAATATATGTTATCCATATTTCTGTTAGGCACTCCGCGCGACCGAAAGGACCTCGAAAGAACCTCGAAAGGACCTCGAAAGAACCTCGAAACGACCTCGAAAGAACCTCGAAAGAACCTCGAAAGAACCTCGAAAGAACCTCGAAAGAACCTCGAAACGACCTCGAGTGCACGGGGAAGAAAGAAAGAAAGGACCAGTTGCATCCACGGAAACCGAAATGTCGTTTGGCTTTCCGAGACCTAATAAAAAAAAAGCTCGGGATTTCGTCCAGATGGCAAAAAGATGAATCCAGCTGCGGCTGCGTCGACCCTAATTCCTTCACCCTTTACTCTATCTTCTTTTAGTCGACTTGTGACCGATAAAAGGAGCAGCCAGGCTCCTTCATGCGATTACGGTCCTTTACTTTTATTTTTCTTTCGCGCTCTTATTGGACGGCGCGGAAGATAACGTTCGGGAAACGAGACTATCCTCTTCAACGGGATTCACTCTTCTTCACCGAAACGGGGAAATTCCGTAATGTTTTTCGAGGTGATTTTCCAGAAGTGTTCCCCGGCCTCGCCTTTCTCGTCGGCTTTGCCCAGACTTCGATCTGGAACTATTTTTAAAAATACCTTCAACATCATGTCTCGCAAGGGGCATAGACGTAACACGGGTTTTGCATAAAAATCCCTTTGACATAGTTTCTCTCGAGGGTATAGACCTAACACGGGTTTTGCATATATGAATAACCATTGGATACGGAAATGATGCGTCAACGAGTTAGATCTCGGTTGATGATAGTCAACATCGAGTTCTTAGATCGACACGTGTTCCACGTGGGAGTCCCAAACCAACGAGGGAATTCGTCGGTTACCGCGAATTCAAAAGGGGAAAATTGGGTCATGGTGATCCATTCTAGAGGGTGTTCACAAAGTTCTGTTACCCCGAACTTTCTTCCTACAATGCAATGGGAAGCAACTGAAAATGTGGAACGATGATAGTAATTCATCATCAGGTGTTTATTTCACACAAGGATGATGAAAATTGCATTTCAATTATCAAGAGGATCGGTGAGAAATTTTGCCATGTTCATGGCAGAGAATGATCCGTCGCCACGTTCAAACTTGAAAATAACGGTGTCAACTCCAATTCGCAGGACTTCTAGATGCAATTTTCATCATCCTTGTGTGAAATGAACACCCTGTACGCTGATTCAAGGCGGCATTGCAGACTGGAAAGATCCTCCGAAAAAAGCTTGCTCACTCTCCGGCCACTTCTTGTCTACAGCTTTAGCCGAGAGTGCAAAATGCCCGAAACTCTAGTTTCTGATGTATAACCCCGCAAACACTTCCATTTCAGACATTTTTCATGCGAAATTTGATCTCAGGATTCCCAAAAACGGCAAAAGCCCGCGCTCATACAAAGGTATATGGACAATCTCAAGAAGAGCGCTAGCTCTATTTTCATATTTAAAGAAAAGCTTGCTGCAAACCATATACCATTAGATGATGAATCACATGAGGCGTAGTTCACGGTAGAGAAGGAAGGAAAAACTCCAAGGAGAGACGCTTCATCGAGTCTTTCCCATTCCCGAGAGTTTTTTCCAGAATATAATTCATAGCATGTAGCTGGGGCCGTATTCACGAAAACTTAGTAAGAATGCGATATTCTCACGAACTTCGTATCTTTGGTATTCACGATACTTCGTAAGTCCTCGTCTCATTCTTACGAACACTGTTAGGTATTCATGAAACTTCGTAGCGATGATAATGAGCCAGCCAATCATAACCGAGCTCGGGAGCTACCAAACCAATCGCTGAGTAGAAAACAACGTGGTTCTCACGCTGACAGCATGACTCACGAGTCCCCATATCATAGGAGCCTTCTGCAAACTTTCTGCGCAATTCCGTGCCGTTGTTTTTGCTCTTACAGGAAGTTTTAACACGACTGGGGATCCTGTCGAATCTTCGAAAACACCCTAAAAGACGGTACCCAGTGAATCTCAACGTAATAAAAACTACCTCAAGGTTTCAGAAATACCCAAGGAAAAGATCTGAACGCATTATCAACGTTCGTATCTAATTGAGACACCCAATGAAAGAGAGTTCCACAGATCCCTCGACATCGTCATTGTGGCCACTTACGATACCTCGGGACCATTCGTAGACTTACGAAGAAAGATACGAACTTTTGTGCTTTCGTGAATACTAAAATTGAGCAGCATTCTTACGAACTGCGTACGAAGATCGTACGAACATCTTACGCAAAAATGCTTCATGAATACCACTTACGAACTTCGTAAGAATTTCGTGGCAGGAGAGGTTTCATGAATACCACTTCCGAACTTTTCTCTTCTTACGAAGAAAAAGTTCGTAAGAATGTTTCGTGAATACGGCCCCTGACGAGTCTTACGGTAACCCCGAAGAAAATAGCGCACACTCCTGATTTTCTTCATTTCGACCCCGACGTGCAACCTCTCATCGGATGTTGCGTTCTGCCGACGAAACGAAGAAACTACTAGACGGCATCGTCAGATTGTCACTTGCTCGTGTGATGAGCGCTCTGTGGTCGACAGAGATTGCGGAGTGCTTTCGGGTCATCTTGCGACCAGAAACAACTTAACCCTGTTCTCAAGCAGCTTCTTCCGGATCCCCGCTAAAATTCTTCTTTGGTTTCAGTTAAAATCTTGATTTTCTGAAGCGCCTACTATTATCTCTACATCAAATGTAAAGAGAAGTAAAAAAAAAAAAAAGAAGGAAATAGGGTGAAACTCGAGAAGGCACGATGGACGTCGCCCGTTCCAGAGTCTTCTCTCTCTTCCTGCTGACGGTCAAGGTCATATTTATTTTTCATTTGTTCTGCGTGCTCATTTCAAGTTAGTTTTACTCGGATGGTGACCTGGACGAATGAGGACAGTGAAGGTGATGTGCCGGCCACCCAGAAGCAAGTCACCCCAAGTCCTGTAATAACATGCCTCTGCGGGTGGGTTCTATATTTAAACATCGATGCGGCGAAGCATGGACCGAGAGCCACAGGGATAGCAGATCACAACGACATTACCAGATGTGACAACACTACTGTCTACACCGTTGTGGTGCCTTCACGGAACTATTCACCACTGCGGCACTTATACAATAATACCTTTGCATAAATTTACAGAGTGGAGTCCGGGCTGAACCAGCAAAACACGATAGCATTTTTCTCACGGACTAGTTAACAGCTGATCATCTGGTTGCATTTTTTTACATCAGGATTTTCTTTTCCTGCAGGACTTTCCCGCGATTTTGTATTCTTCTGAAGTAACCCGTTCTTCATTTTTCGATTACTGATTTCTTTTTTTTGTCCCATATGTTCTCACCTGCTCGCCTAGCTCTGGAATGCAAGCTTAAATTGACCTCTTGGATGCAAGCCTAAGTTGCCTCGTGGAGCTCGGCCGATCACCTAGTGGTTTCCAACCCTTCGGATGCGGCAATTCCAGTTACTGGAGGTTGGATGACGAGTTCTGACCAAATGGAAGGGGAAAAGGTCAGAATTCCTCGTATTGTCTTAGCTGTTGACACCTCATATCCTGGAAACTCCTTTCTGAATGCATGCTTTGTCACTATTATTGAGTTTTGAAATGCTCCTCAACGATAATGATTTTTTGCTGTAAATTTAATTGAGCCATATTGAACCTGCAACAGAAAAAGGATTATTTAGTCAAAAGATGTTTACTTTTGCCTGCTTAATGCATTTTATTATTCAATCCTATCTTTTATGGCTATCCTGTAATTTCATTTTGAAATCGAGTGCATATTTTGGCCCACCTTGTACCATGTCGTAATGGTATAAGGGCAGACATGCAGAGCGGGAGTCAATTTATTGTGCAACAGCTTGGGCTGTCCTGTTACACCCCAGTGCTGAGCTCCGTGGTTTCAGCGAGCTAGCCCTTATTGGAAATGGTTGGGGAGAGAGAAACCCGAAGGAAAAGAAAGGTGAAAATGAAGGATGGTTTCTTTTCGTTATTCCGCGAAGCACTGAATGGTGCTTTACCGATCGGCCAGGATCATTATTCATGTCCTCTATCTTTCCATCTCAGACCGATCTACCCCGTTATGACAGAAACACTTCATCATGGCGCGAAGGACGGAAACGCCCCCCCCCCCCCCCTCTTGTTTTCCCCTCCGCACTTCTCGCTGCCAACGCCTTTCTTTACTCAGTTTTTTCTATCCATCATGAGCTTCCGTCCATCATCTAACGATTCCTCATCACCTTCATCATCTCTAACGTCGATGACGGAGCAACACACAGACGCAACCCTGCAATCGTGCTATTCTGGTGGAGGACGTTAATCCTTCTGAGAAAGAAACTAATATTAGTCTTGCAAACAAAATGAAGTGGGGAAGAGGTAAGGTGCGGAGACCATTTAGCTAATGCATACGGATCATGGCGATGAATTGGGCTATTCGAGAGATCTCACAAAACCGGATCGATTGGGAAACTTTGAATGGAGGGAAGGGTGTATCAGGAGGAAGGGGGAACCAGGAAGTAGGAAGGAGGTGCGCGCTTCCCTCTCGTGAGGAGGAGGGGGAATGAACTGAAAGAGACGAGGGTCCGTGCCGGCTCACCCCTCGCCCTCGAGGAGAGCAGAGCAGAGCCGCTTCACCCCCCGGTCGAGGAGAGAAGAGAGGAGGACCATCGATCCATGGCTGCGTCAGCCATGAACGGGAAAAGGCTTGATGCGGTTGCCTTGGCAACGGAACGAGGGGGAGGGCGAGGGGGAGAAAGGAACGAGAGCGAGGTTGGCCTTCTCTGACTCCCCATTCAGGATAGGCCTATGGGAGGCCAGCCGGCCGCATTCGCCAGAGTTCTTGCTTTCCTCTGTGTCCCCTTTACGTCTTTCCTATCAAGTCTCGTCATGAATTTCTTCTGAGAACTGTCGTGCTGGACTGTGTGGTCGGTTTCATCAAATTACTCGCTCGCCAGCATGGGATGTGCTATATCAGCCGAGGAACGGGAGGCCATCGCTCGTTCCAGGCAGATCGAGAAGAATCTCAAGGAAGATGGAATTCAGGCTGCCAAGGACATCAAGCTACTCTTGCTAGGTGAGCGACAAACTAGCAAGGCACTCGATGCTTCTGCGTTTGTTGACCGATGTCAAGATACCCCCGTCATATGCCGCACAATACAGCATGAGCAAAGTTTTTATATCGACGACTTCCTTGTTTGTACACGAGATAGGCCGGGTTTGAAATTCTTCAAAAATGACGATATAAACAAATGCTGTCAGTAATGGAACTGAGGGATTGAGGGATCAATAGTCGGAGAGGGAAACGAGAAGAGGTTGCTGTCCCCGAATGCATGCTGACCCGCTAACCATACAGGACAGACGATGCACCTCTTATAACAGGCTAACATTATTCTTTCTGTTCTCACTCCGGTGCCTGCAGTTTATGTTTCTTATTCACTTATCCCCATCGAATTTTTCATGCTTGTTTAAAATATCACGCATGAGTCCAGCCGGCGTGGTGAAACCTGGCACTAATGCTTCACGTGAGGGATTCAGAAAAGCCATTGCTTATAGTCGGTAGATCCTAGAATTTACAATCTCTAGTCTTCTCTGAAATTGGCTGTTGAGGGCTCGTGAAAACTTTTTCCTCTCTGTGGAAGGTTCTTGGCAAGACGGCCAGTGCAAATGAGATGGTGTCATCCGGCCTTCCCAAACCACTCTTACAGACCGACAGACAGAAAAGAAACTTCCTTAGCAGAATATCATGTATTTCTTAATTTCGCACTTTACGAGTAATATCTTCATGAATAACCCGAAGGGGAGAAAACTCTGACTGTATCGCAGCTGAGCATTTCCCAGAATGGGGTTTCATGAAGATGTAGGATGTAGTTGAAACCGCCTGGCGAGTCTGTGCATTACGCAGGGAATCACCAGGCGGTTCCATGCTCTGACTCTCCGTACGCTGTACGATCTTGCGTTTGTTGAATGAAACCACGCGACACCACAGGAAGTGAATGTAAGATGTGTATGCCGGCTATACCCAAGGTCATCTGTCCATAATCTATCATCTTGGAGGTGATTGTCTGACAACCTGCATCTATATTTGGCCAAATTTTCATTAATTATTACTTACTATGGGCGATCCCTATTTCGTAATTAGGTAATTATGTTTCCTATTCCATAAATGGCTTTTTACATGCAAACTATAAATACAAGTAATCTGAAGCTAGAAAAAAGTCATTAAGATGACTGCTTCCTATAATACAATTAAAAATTGATGATTCAGTAACGTGACCTGTGGGCATAACGAGGATATGGCATACCAATCCTTTCCGCCCATCCCATCTTAGTAAAATGTTGCTGTCGATGTCTATTCATTAATTATGAACTTCTTTTCTACCCGAGTAATGAGATATTGCTATTTTTCTTTTACTCATGATAAAACTGATGGGAAACTGTGATAGTGAACACAGTGCCTCGGGTCGTGAGATCATGAATTGTTAATCTTGTAACCGAATACCTATTTGCGGTGAAGGGTTGATTAAGACGTCTTTGATTGCGCAACCTGTGACAATTTGCTCTATCGAGAATGTCCCTAAAACATTCTAATCAGATTGAATCGGTGTTTCTGTCGATCTGGGTGACTTGTTTACATATGACGACGCATGATCAGAGGGGAATCCCTGACAACACTCACGTCGCATGCCTGATACTTCCCAAGGGAATTGGTTCCTCAATATCGATTCTATGGAGACATCTATTTGAAGGTGTAGAGTACCCTTGAGAAGCTGTTTTGTTCGTAGTACACACTTTAATGAATGTGGTGCGGCTGATGGGAGTCTCGATCTCGCCCGTCCAGATCCAACGAAGGATCTAAGGAAGCAGTGCCTTCTGTCACTTGAACTTCTACGGGCAATAATGGCGTTATCTTCTGGCTGGACCAAGAAAGCGGTCACGAACCGCACTGTTTCCATGACGACCTGGTTGACCTGGTTCGGTGTCTGAGTGGATCCGGTCGATTTGGTGGACCAACCAGTCGGATCTGCTCGAGCTTCTTGAGTTCAATAATGGCGTCTCCGTGAAATTCTGACCGTCGCTGAACAAAAGTTGTCTCCAATGAATTCACATCCTCAAAGATTTGTGAAAGTGCAAAAGAACCTCCAAATCATGCTATTTATCTTTCCGACGCAGTAGGATAGCTCGCTCACTTGTATCAATAATTGAAGGAATGTGGGCTCACCGGAGATAGTGAGCCGGGGATAGTGAGAAACTGTTCATTCCCGTTTCTGGTTGACCGCGCCGACCGTTTCCATAAAGAAGGCGCCATGAACCAGGAGAACCAGACTGGAATGATCAACCAAAAGCACATTCCATCCATGAAATAACGCTAGTACTATTATGGCAGGTAGTGTTTCCGTTTGATTGAGGCGAGATCGAACGGATTGACCAGAGCAATCGCACCTTTGCTTAGTTGAAAACGCTTCTAGATCCGGTACGATTTGTCATGCGGATGTCCTCACGAATGAAGAGTCCGATTGCCCATTTTCTTTTCCAGGTGCTGGGGAGTCTGGGAAGAGCACAATTGTGAAGCAGATGAAGTAAGCTCATGAATTTGTAAATTCTCTCTTCCCCTTCCAGAAGGGTTAATGCTTTATGCATGAATAAGCCTAGATTTCAAGGGTTCTCTCTTTCTCCTCGCTCTTCGTCAAAGCAGCCAGTATTTTTTCCCCTATCGAGATGGAGCGAGGATGGGTGAATTTGCCCACAATTTTTGGAAACTAGGGGGGTCGAGGATGAACTTTGGCATTGCTGTAGCTCTGGCACTGCGACAGAATCATAAGAGTTTCATTCAAAACGTTCAACGGTAATGTTATAATGGTAATGTTCATTTTCTAGTATGAATGGCAACTCTCAAATTGCTCCCAGATTACGGAGAATTGAGGGACAGAATTAGACCCAAACGTAGTTCCAGAAGTTTATTTTCCCTAATCATTTCCAGGATCATCCACGAGAGCGGATTCACGCAAGAGGACTTCAAACAATATAAACCTGTGGTATATAGCAACACGATCCAGAGTTTAGTGGCCATCTTGCGAGCCATGCCCAACCTTGGCATCCCCTTCGGAAACAACGAACGCGAGGTGAGAAATTCCGTATTCATGGACTCTATGCAGGGTGAGCGTTGCCGAGAATGAACGCGATATAAGATGAGGATCGGCATTTTCTCATTTTTCAATTCTTGCCGGGGAGCACACGAGTTTCTGATCGTTATAGGTCCGTTGAGATTTGCACGACTCCTTGAACCCATCCATCAAAAGCTCTTTGCTCATGAATAATTCAATCCTGGAAACTTGTCTACCCCGAAGACTTAGCCTCGACTCGAGGGTTTGCTCCTGTTTAAGCTTCGGAAACATTCACTCGATTAACATTCCAGGTCGACCTAATATGCATGATACACGTCTACGATTAGGCTGTTGAAAGGAGTACCCAGAAAATAAAAAGGAGGAGCCAGGGACTCCAGTGTTCACGACCGACCGGAAAATCGCCACAATGAAGAACATTGCATGTCTGTGTAACTACATCACTGCGTGCACATCCGTTCACGTATCCCGGTGAAGACGGATGAGGGGATGGTGAAAGGGAGAATGTATATTTGAAGAGTATACAGGTCGAAATCGGGGCTTGGGAGGGGGCAGTCATGTTTGGTCTCGACTGTAGATACGTGGAGCTTATTTAGCTCACCTGACTCGGGGTCGATTGGCTTACCTAACCTTCTTCGCCTGTGCAGCTCTTTTCATATTGGCTTTTCCTTTGCCATGCTTTTATGACCTTTTATCTCATTCGAAAAGGAGAAACCTTTGCTGTCATCTGTATATCCTAATATGAGGGAGAGGGTGGTCTACTGCCAGGAGATTTGGATCACGAAGAAGCGATCCGTGTTAGGAATGAAGCAGGTAGTATGGTGCAGGCGCCGTTCGGGGCAAAGACACCTGTCACGCGCCGCAACCCCTGTCTGGATGTGGAACGAGGACGATCCCCTAGCAAATCCCTCGAGTGGCTTTTTCGGCTAAGACACACTCGTACACATCCGATGCGGAAGCAATGGAAGGTGCTATGCTGGAACACTCAGGCGGAGAATCGTATTAAGGGGGGATTTGGAGAGGCTTTCCTAGGTGGAGATATGTCCAGGGGAGGGGAACATCGACGAAAAATGGAAGGGGAAGGAGTGGGCGGAGAAGGACGAGAAGGACGAGGAGAGGAGAGGAGGGGAGAGATCGAAGTCATTTATCCATGCGTTGGCTTCCTTTCGCGCAGAAATGTCTTATACCCGCTCTCTTTCAGGCTCTCTCTCTCTCTTTTTCTCTCACTCTCTCTTTCTCACCCTCTCTTTCTTTCGAGCTCCTCTTCAAAATTTCTATCTTTTTCTTTTACTTGTGTATCCTGACCATAGAATGAAGTTTTTCCGCTTCCAATTGGGGATCTAAATCGCATTATCTATAATAACAGCACCAGCAGCTGGCTTCCATCGATTATGGGAAAGATAGTTCCGTACCGTCTACAGTCTCGAAATCTCTACCCCAATTCCTCTTTCAATCCCTAAGAATTGCCAGGGCTTCTTTCTGCGACGTCAAGAGCCTATCGAATCTGATAGGAAAACGCCCCCACAGCGTCGCAATCTTCGTCAAACCTGACGTCGCTGGGCCTGATGAGAAAGCCTCACATGTCTCAGGCGTAATTCATTGCAACATCGTGTTGACTCGAGTCCCTTGAGAATGCACCGGATATCTGGAAAATTAGTCAGACTTTTATCCTTGAATAATTGCGAAGGAACTGCAGACGGAGTTTTGTGTTCTCCCTCAACCCAAGTCAAACCTAAGCAAACTTGAGCATCAAGAATAGAATGAACCAGATTTAAGTCTAAAAAGCTGACTTCAAGTCATCAGGAGTCCCGAGAGCAAAAATGACTGATCCCAAAACTTTCAATGACGATGAGTGTATCGTTGCCGTAATGATTCGGACAGGCCAGAAAGCACCCCAAGTTTTCATGCAAGTGCCTTGAGGTTTTGAGAGGGATCCCGAACGCTCCATCGATGCATCCAGGGCCATTTCAATGCCCCATTTCACTTGTGCGCAAGGAGTGCTTACAGAGTTCCAAGGCTAACCCCATGAAATCAAAGCGATTCAGGGAAATCAGATTTAGTTCATTTTAAAGAACCTCTCATCAGCTGCAATGGACTTGTCCCACCTTTCCTGGCACTCTTGAAAATCATGATAGAGGCTGTTCTCCGACATCCTCTTCCACGGAGTTGGTCGGTTTCTCACCTGACTCAAAACGTCCGCGCATCAGCAAATATTTTGCCTCTTTAAAGAGATTAAACTTGTATGACGCAAATTCCAGACTAGGGCAGGGTGTGACGTCACCTTCTTCCTCAAGTTTTTCGAGTGTTGCATCATCGGTATCAAGGGTTCGACCGTTTATTGCAAGTCTGGTCTCTCATTTACAATTTTTGCTGCCAATTTTTGCAGCCCTTGAAGACTTCCGAGTAAAAGGCACCGGTGATAGGGTGAGTGCTGCGAATGTCGGCACTGGGAGCCACCTCGACACTTTGCGATCTTCAACCTTCTGTTTCTTCTACCAATCCACTAGGTACGGGGGGAAATCAATTCTCAGATGGTAGAACTAATTTTGTTGACATGTGATTGGAACAGCCCTATTTGCTGTATTAGTTTTCTCGCAGTGGCTGCCTTCTCTAAGCGCATTCCGAAAATCTTGCGAAACCGAGTGATTTTGCTAAGCTTTACACATTCCCGTTCTTCTCTTCCACAACAGGTATTGTTTTTATTAGTTTGATGCATTCATTTTGGAGTTCATTGTAAACGACAGTTATACTTAGGGGTGCCGAGATTCCCAATATCCGACCCAACTTCACCTTAACCTCAGGCCCTCGGAAAGAAAAGGCTCGAGGCACTCGAAGTGTGCGGTTCAGGAAGGTACTTCATAGAGGTATGACTGGAGCCAACGTGAACGAGAAAGCTCCATTACAGAAACCACCAGGCAAGGTGGAAGTGGAAATTTTGCGAAAGTGCCGACATTACCAACTCTCACCCTATAATCTCGAGAAATAGTGTGGTCGTAAACAATTCCCAGGTGATCGAAAAAGATTAGGTGCTTCATCTTTACTACCGATTTGACGACTTTCGTCTTTAAGTCGTCCTTAAGGGGGCTTTATGAATAATACAAAACCCTTGTACCTTGCCTCAGTTCAGGGTCGTAGTGGTAAAACCAGGATTCTTTCTAAGTAGGACTCGGTTCAAGAAGTTGTTTTATTAATTGAATAATTCAATAAGAACCTCGAGAGAGGTTCCCAGTTATTTTGCTAAGGGTCTGTGATTCGTCAGCATGAGCGACATCGTGATCTGTTTCAGCACTTGAGGGCCTGCAATTCCTTGTCATTTCTTGCATCATCTTTTAACTGGTTTCAGGCCATATTTCAATATTTTATGTATCACTCAAAAACTCTTCCGCGAGACATACCTTCATTTGCATAACTGAATTGAGAAAGATTTTCTGTTCGTACAGAACTTGATGTTGCACTTTTCTCTAAAATCTTTAAACGCTTTTTTTTTTTAATGGGTTCACAGAAACAATAACAACCCTTACAAAAAATTTTTCCCTGAGGTAAAATTGGGACGGTGAAACTGAGGTAAAAAAAAGTTTTTCCCCCTCTCTCAACCTGTCAGAAGACCCTTCAGGTAAAGATTAGGGGGAAAAGCGGTGAAATTCGGACGAACGAGGGGGTAACGTTTTGTATGGGAAATTATCAGTTTCATACAGGAATTCTAATGTTCAGACTGCCGAAGAGACCCCACGACTTTCAACTCATATATCTCTGCTTTCACTGGAGCTAATGTTTTTAAATGCAACTTACATATCGACAGATTTGTCGTCCTCGACAGACATTCGAAATTTTATCAAAATGTTTACTATTGGGTACGAGATTTTTGAAAATAAATCGGAAACTGAAAATGGGCGAGGGACTTTTGTCCCTTCTGAGTGACCAGGCTTTAGGTCAGTTGCACTGCCTCAGGTAAGTCAGACTTTTCATTAAGTCAGACTTTGGAAGCATGGTAGACAGGCTCCCAAAGTCAGACTTTGCGTGAAAGTCTGACCTAACTGAGGCAGTGCAACTGGCCCTTCGTCTCCTCCTCCGACGGGCAACGTTCATGCATTAATACACATTTATTCATTGGTTATTAATTTAAGAAAAACTTCTAGAAACCATTTGCAGGAAAAAGTCAACCCTAAGAATAGACTTCAATGAAGAGATTTTGGATGATTTTTAACCAGAGCGTCCGTACAATTCCTCAGACTACCAGCATCCGCTCCTGTCCGTTTTCAGTGTCCAAATTCTTTTTAATGTATCCACGTAGCTTTGCCTTGCGGAGAAGAATTCTAATGAAATTTCGAGTTCATTGGAATCGTATCAGTAAATGCAAAAAGTTTCGCGGAAATTGCTTCAGAAAAAGCAGAGATTTATTGGTTTAAAATCGAGTGCATCATATCATACCTTTTAAATTGATCTGCAAAGAGAAGAGAAAGGAAAATAGAGCTTGTGAAACTTTCAGAGTCCTTTTTTAGAAGCATAAGAGACATGAGATTATTTCTGGAACCATTGTGAAGGGGTTCCGTTATACCCTCCTGGGAATGACCAATGGGACCTTTGGGACACGACCGCGCCAGCAGACAGTCGTGCCTGTTCTCTTTCCTTCAGACGGCCAGATAATTTTCTCAGTAATTTTTTTTTGCGGGAGTGCTTCACTCCGAGAAGACAGGGGTCCCATGTCGCTTAATGTCCTCTAGATGTCCTCTAGACCTTTCACCTACGTGAAATACTGCGAATAATGTCTAGAATCTCGTCAGGCACCGATTTTATGCATGCAATCTTAGAAGAGCTAAGAGATACTGAACCACTGAATAAAATGAGAAATGCTTCACTCCTTCCTTCACACGTGCTTTCCAACCACGAGCAATGGTTGAGAAATGGCGCTTCATTTGCGAACGTGATGATTCCCTATGACGTGAACGTGTTCCATCAAGTAATTTTATTCTCTCCAGTCATCTGTTTGCATAGTGGGCTAGACTTCCTGGAAACCTGATGGAAATTTAAATTTGAAAGCGTAAATCGAGGTTGTGATGCTGCGCATAATCTCATTCAAGTAGTCGCTTTAGGGAACGAAGACAACTTATTTTTGGCTCTTGCTTTGTTCCCACAGGCCTCGAAAGTTGAACTGTGTAATAGCGTCCAGCTTTTGCTTTTTCTGAATAACGCTGAGGATATTCATACTTTCTTTTCGAATCCATGCGAATTTTAATCTAGGACTAAATGAATAAACTGTGTCGAAGAAAGATGCTGGATTAATTTCTAAATTACCTTCATCCGATATCGCGCTTTCTGTCTGTCACATTTGAGATGAATATGAAAGATTTCACAAAATGTTTGAAATTCAATAACTTTTGAAAGGTGAAGAATGATGGAAAATCGCAACGAATGAAACATTCTGTTCGCCGCCCGATTCTTCACTTCCGCGTGTTCTAACATGGCTCAGCTCAGAAAAGCAGGCAGTCTCAGGGATGGAATTGCTTTTTTTTCATTTACTGTACAGTATCGGAAAATGAATACGGATTTTTGCTCTTAAAATTGTACACGTGCTTCTCTCATGTTGCAGAAGAAAATTTCCAGGTGAAATTTTCCAGTGCCAAAAGGTTGCACCGTATTTTGGCTTCCACGTGGGCTATAACTCGTTAACATACTTCTTGTGTTAGCTTGCAATGCCCTTTCTCTATTTTTGGGACATTTCCGAGAAATCTATAATAAATTTACCGACAACGTATATTCCTCTTATAATGCGTAATTACGACTGCTTAGAAATTAATTTAAATGCAAGCAAAACAAGGATAATGGAAGGAGAAAAGCGGCGCGAAAGGGGATTCCTTCGCTTGAATGCCTGCCGCCTACGCTCAGTCGTTTTCCAGAGCGGCTCATTATTGCATTTCAAGCGCTGGGTCAACATATCTTTTAACCAAGCAAGAGTTTGTCTTGCTCTACCGAGGCGCCATGTGAAGAAAGACGCATGAGACTCGCCCGATCTCTGATAGGTATATTTAAATAAATAAATAAATCGCCTTCTTTAAGTGAGGCGCAAACCATTTTCAGGCATGCAATTCAGTTCCAGTTCTAGTTCAATTTCAGTTCTAGTTGATTTTTCGCTGTGAGATTAGTATATCTAAGCACACAGTGGTAGTAGAACCGAACTGCAACTGTTCTGCCGTTTTGAAATTAATCACGGTGCAATTACAGCGAATATGAAATTTGCAGCCATCTTAGAGCTCCCGTGACGTAGTTATTTCCCTGCAGATAATCTGAATTGTTACCATGGCATCAGTTGGATGTGGTCCACCAATGATCACTAAGCAAAGGGAACAGTTGACCCAGAGCAATTTCACTGCTTAGTTTTATCATGCACGCAAAGAGGACATGGTAAATAAAAGGACTCTTCCGGAATTCATTTTCACTTCCTTTCCCCAAAGATTGAGAGAATCCTGTCCTCTGTGCCGCGTGGGGAAAATTTTCCGGTAAATGCTGTTTCATGTAAACACGGAAGTTTTCAGTTCCCTCACAGTAATTTCAAAATAAATGCAAATACATCGGTCTCATCGGTCTCATCAGTTCAGTGGACATATACATTTAGGACGCATTTCCTCCTCAATATACATTTTAAATTTATTTTGGCAGACATGTAGAATTTCAAATTGTTCTGCTTCTGTTCTTACAAGACAAATTGGAAAAATAAATTGCTGGACAGAAAGTGAAAGTGATGAAATTGCAAGCCTACCAAAAGTTGAGCTTATGAACTTGCCACTTAGAAACTTGGACGAAGGTCCAAGGTTCTAAGTGGCAAGTGGTTCATTAGGTTATGAGAATCCCAATATATGCACTCCCTTGTATCTTGTGCTTCCGTGTTCCAATAGCATGAGTGCGTCCTGCTTTCGTGTTGAAATGAGATGGGTGCAACCACCTGCTCTGTTTTCAGCCAACATTGTATCACCAATAACATTGTTATTTCCTGCACTATAACATGGCTGCACTCATAAGGGCAGAGCTCTGCTACTCCTTTTTCACCAATCACGAGTATGCTATGAGTACATAAGCAATTGTGTGCAGTGGATATGTACCAAAAATATGTATCCTGAGCGCTACAATATCTGCACCACTGGTGCAGAAATTCTATGTAAAATGCTTGAAAATGTATCCTACACTATCCTCACTTTTCGGGTCGGTGTCGTAGGTGCTAGGAGCCTCGTGAAGAGGTGTAGCAAGTTTCTTGGAGGGCAGTACGCTACGTGGTCCACTTTTTAGAGTTGAGTACCTCTCGGTAGTAATTACACAAGCGTGAAAAATCATTCTATGGTTTGGCACAATAGGGTGAATGCGTAGACGAGGCTTGGCTTGATCGATAGTCGTTTATCGACGGAGGACGTGGGAGCGGTTAATATCGCTCCGAGCTCCTCACAGGTCTCGGGAGATATTGCAAAGGATCTCCTCCGTGTATTTCCTTTTGTTTCCATCTCGGTTGCATGTCGGGTCGATGGCTAGGAGATGAAGATGACTACGCTCAGGTCTTCGCTTCTCACCTCATGAGAACCCCTGTTAATCCACTCTCGTACCATGATCTTTACAAAGAAAGGTTCATCTGAGAGTGATAGAGAGAGAAACTAAGAAAGAAAGAAAGAAAAAGAAAGAAATGCTTGTCCCATTCCTTCCCTTGCACGGTTTCTATGGTAACCTACTTCGGAAGGACATACAAACACGTGCTGAATAGACAGACACGAAAGGGTTTTTCCTCTACAGAAAGCAGAGCAATTTTCGCCCTTATCGGCCTTATTGAATTCGGGGAAATGAATGGAATCTGGAAATGACTTTCATATGGAGAACTGCTCATGACGAACAGACAGCTCCGTCATATGAATCCTTGCGGATTGCCTGGGATTTCACGAGTATATCCCTTCTCAATGGGCATATCAGTGGAAGAAGGCCGCAGGAGAAAACACAATAGGGTAGGGTCCCCTGATCGATCTCAAGTCTACGCCCACGACAATGATGGATAAACATTCCGATCGTCACTACATGTTTTATTGCGTGATCCCGTTCGCAAACTCGAGTTTTTACCCCGGTGTAAGATGAGAGACTGGAATCAGCCCTGTTTACCCTTTCTCGAAGCATGATGAGGCTGACGGGTGGAATACTTGCAGGTCGATGCCAAGATGGTGTTCGACGTGGTGACGCGAATCGAAGATGCAGAACCTTTCTCAGAGGAACTCCTGGCAGCCATGAAGCGCCTTTGGACGGATTCTGGTGTCCAACAATGTTTCAGCCGATCCAACGAATACCAGCTGAACGATTCCGCCAAATAGTACGTCCGTTCAAGCCCCTTCCTTACCGTTTCTTACTGATCCCCCCCTAATCCCCCTCCCCTTCCTGACAGGATTTCATTGAGGGGATAAAAGGGGAAGAAAGAAAGGAGGGAATAGGATTCTGAATTTCACCCTAAGAATTCAATTTAGGCACATAACTTTATTTACATCCTCGATTTCGCATAAGGAAGTGTACAGGATTTGCAATAGCCAGTAAAAAGAAACGGGAGAGGGAGAGAGATAAAAAAAAAGATGAAATGAAGGTTTTTCCAAATTGGTTTTTCCAAATACCTTGCTCTCCTCTCATTACTTAATTGAAGAGTGCTCTTCTTTGAACTGCTGAATATTAAATGCGATTCTGATTTAACAGCTTTCTTGACGACCTGGACCGACTCGGCGCCAAGGATTATCAGCCGACGGAACAGGATATCTTGAGAACCCGAGTGAAAACCACTGGAATCGTGGAAGTACATTTCTCCTTCAAGAACCTCAACTTCAAGTGAGAGCAAGCTCTTCCTAGTGACTTAGCTCTTCTAAAGTCTTTCTTTTCTTCTATTGCACCATTTCTTCCACATCTAATGTGTTTTTTTTTTTGTCGTTGCTGTTGCTGCTGCTGTAATGTAGACTTTTCGACGTGGGAGGTCAGCGGTCAGAGAGGAAAAAATGGATCCACTGCTTTGAAGACGTCACTGCCATCATTTTTTGTGTAGCCATGTCTGAATACGACCAGGTGCTTCACGAAGATGAAACCACGGTAAAGATTCCACTTCTGTGCATGTCGTGACACCCACGCGAGGAAAACCTGACTATATCCTTTCTATTGTTTTTTCGACTCTAAGAATCGGATGCACGAGAGCCTCAAGCTGTTTGACTCGATCTGCAACAACAAATGGTTTGCCGATACCTCGATCATCCTCTTCCTGAACAAGAAGGACCTTTTTGAAGAGAAAATCAAGAAGTCACCCCTGACCATCTGCTTCCCTGAATACACCGGTACTATTCATTCTTCATTCTCCTTCCTCGCTCACTTTTTTCGCTCTCCCTACTCATCTGCGACAAGGGTCAATAGGAAAAAGTCGACAACTGGATATCTTGCCTATACCAATCTATTGGTCATGAGCACGGGCAACTTTTGGTTTAGTGAAACGAATACACTAGCTTCCAATGTCAGTGATATTAGCTATCCTGAGTATCCTTGCCATATATCCTGCTGCCTTCCTACTCTCTCGGAATGTTTTCCCTGGTCCAACCATGTGTCAGTGCCTATTGTCATATTGTCTGGTGTGTTTAGCAGGAATGTATTAAAAAATGGAGATAAAGCCTTGTGTGCATAAAATGTCGCTGCTTCTGGAGCGGCACTTTCCATCGGGGCATTATGACTGACAGCAGCATGTTCTTTAATACCCAGGAACGGGAATGAAATCTGGTTGATATAAATTCATCGGTGTCACTTTCCAAAATTGGTCCTCTAGTTCTTGCTCTGGGGTGGCCTGTGGATGCATCTGTTTTAAGCACTTTCAGTAGGGCTTTCTTCTCCTGAAGGGGTAAAAAGTTTTCCTTTTGAACGTTTATTCCGGACCAACTGACCCATGTTTCTGTCTGTCCGTACCATTCAGTACTTGCCCTTGAGGTCATCTGTAAGCGAGCAGGGAGAGAGGTTGTCGTACGAAAAGAACAGCGTGTTAATTGGCGTGTAATTGAGCATATTTTTTTAGATGGTGAGTGGCCCTCCGTTGTCCAGGGACAAGTGAGCTATGTGCAAACAATACAAGTTCTGGTCCTTCATTTTCGAGCGAAGATCAAAGCCGAACAGACTTCTGAGATTTCCATCCCACTGGTACCAGAAAAAGGCACACCCATTTGGCTCAAGCAACTCAGATGTGTATCATTTCTTCAGCCAGTTCAGTGCTTCACTGAAAGTTTTTGGACTGACAGTGCTCCTTCCACCAAAAAAAACCGTGAAGGCGAAACAAGTCGACCGCTACCTCTTTTTTCCAAATCGGTCCAGGAGATTTAGTTCAGGATTAACTGATGTTCAATACCAGCCTAAGAATGAGTCAATTGCGGATGTTACTCGATATAGTCATCCCCGATTCCGATAGTTGGACACTGAAGTCGAGTTAGGTTGCCATATATATTTTGAGGGAGAGATTTTGAAACTGCTCAAAAGACAGACTTCCTGAAGAAACCCCACCCGTTTGGAATACACACTGGTTGACACAAGATTTTTCCTGAGGCTGACGAGAAATTCCAGTTGAAGGAGAAGAACAAGAAGGCCCCGAACCACACATTTTCGGATCTCTGAAAGTACTGATCCATTTTGAATGAAGTTTGCAGGTCCTTGCAGACCTTGCTTTAGAAGGGGGTTATGAATTAAGGAGTTGATGTGTCAAGGTGAGCTTCGGCTGAGTACGTGGGAAGATTTTGAACAGAAGTTTTTTTTCACAGGTTTTTTTGTCTTTCCCTCCTCGAAGATGGATGACATACCTGTACTTTCCTTACTATTTATAGCTAAATGATCACACCATCCTTAGCAGCTATATGACATCATGAGTTGCTTCCAGTAACCAATCGCATAACCTTTACGAACCTGGTATTTGAAGGCATGAATAAGAATTTAGAATGGATATCTCTTCCATGGAATATCCTACGGAAATGATTTCGAGAATTCACTGCAAAGATAGACGATCGTTGCGTTCCTGTGAAGAATATGCAGATTGAAAGGGATTCGAGTGGAAGTGGAATGGAATTGAAGACGGAGGTCCGGGAATGAGAGCTAGCATTGGCCTATGATAGATCATTAGGGATCCATTTCTTCGGTATACTCTCTCTCCTTCCATATTACGTTCTATTTCCATTGATCGTTGGATGTGAGCCAGTCGATCCTTCTCATTCCGTATTGTTTCCCTCTTCTTTCGTTTCCTGGGGATCCTATCTATCAATCCCAGCTCACGGAACCTTACACGTTTCATCAATTATCTCTTGTTACTGTTCTTGCAGGTCCTCAAGAATACGGTGCAGCAGCTTCTTACATCCAAGGACAGTTCGAAGCCAAGAACAAATCTTCAACCAAAGAAATCTACTGCCATATGACCTGTGCTACTGACACTACAAATATCCAGTTCGTTTTCGATGCCGTGACCGATGTGATCATAGCCAACAACTTGAGAGGCTGTGGTCTCTATTAGTGTGCTAAGTGTTGCAGGGAACCGTTGCCCCGCGCACAACGCAAACAAAACCTTTCAACAGCGGCAGGAGCGCGACTGCAAGTAACAAGAAACTACGCAGCTGCAGTGGAGGTGGTATAGAAAGGATGATGCTGACTATGCCTCTGGTGTTGACGGTGAAGGGAATGGTGATCGATGAGGCAGACGATGATGACTGGAAAGGCAGCTACTGTCACGCGGCGGCTGCTGATGGATCAACGGCCACTTCCTTGCGGCTGCCCAGAACTGACTGTGATTCCAGAGAGCAGAAAAAGAACTTACCGACTCCAGCATCACGATAGCACAGAATAATCCGCTCACGTACACAGAAAACGCGATTGAATAAATAAACATAGACACAAACACACGCATTCACGCCTGCTTTAACGCAAAATGAAAGCACAAGAAGTTTTAATGAAGGAGGAGGATGAGAGAAAAGAGAGAAGACTCATGCAGACTTGCACGGGTCTCGAAATCCTCGCTACTTCATCTCACGCTTACTCCACTCCTCTCACCTCCTCATTCTCCTTGTCCTTCCATCTTGAACTTCTTCATGGATTGCTTCATGGTCATTCTTGCTCATATTGCACTCCAGTGTCTCGACGTCCTGTGTCTGCCCTTCTCTTTTTTTTCCAGCCATGGCATTCCGGGGATCTTTCCCCCTTTTTGTCCTTTTTTTGTTTTCTTGTCATGGATCTGACCCATCCCATGCAAGATTTTCTAGTCACTTCGAGAGAAACTTCGCAATTTTAGGGAGAAATCAAAAGCTGTCCGGACATTTCTCGATAGATTTCCAGGGGACCATTTCCTCCTTTGGTTAAGAAGAGTGTTGAATGGCCCAAAGACGCTTACATGGTTTTCTGTGAAATGATGGTTATGATGATGCGCTGTAATTATGTGCTGTCTTCACTGACTCCTGAGGGATGACGATGATGACGTTAAGTGTGAGCGCGTTATCATGTGATTGTACTCTGAGTGCTTCAGTGCTTGCGTGTTAGCCATCCATTGTCCGCCTGTCTGACTGTCTGTCAGTTTGTTTGCGTGATTGCAAGGGGAAGAGAAGAATGCTGGCTGTGTGACTTTAAACATCTGGATCTAGGGCTGTGCACAATATGCACAATTGCTATCCACAACAAAACAAACCTCTCTTTCTTTCTCAGACTTCTCTTGCCTATCTCCTGGGGCTTAGATTCTTTTCAGTTCCTTCGCAAGCCCTCATTTACAGTCATACTTATATATGGCCATTTTGCTCCCCTTGTTAATGACGGGGCATTCGGTGGTTTGCGGGAAGTTCAGCATGTGGATCGATTCCAATAAGCGAGTCATTAGCTCCCAATTGACCTGTTTTGAATAAAGTAAGTTATTGCATGGACCTCTTTCATTTTCCCCCCCTGTTTTTTTCATGAAACGGAATTAGCCAATGGCACTAGAAAATGAGTATCGGTTTTGTAATATGATCTCAGAAATTGAATTCCGTTCAGGTATTGCTGCAAGCAGGGATATTGCGTCGCTGCCTGACGAGGGTTTCTCTCAAGGTGGTTTTTGCTGTTGCTGAGAGGAGAGCTCACTCATCCCGAAGGGCAACGACGAAATCAATGAATTTCCAGCCTAGAGTGAATTAGAGTTTCATAGCGTGTATATTAGTCAAACGAAGCGTGGAGAGTTGGATTTATGGCCGAGAGCCAAGCCAGAATGGGGCTAGAGAGAAAGAGAGAGAGGGAAGGAGGGAAAGAGAGTGAGGAGGTTGGTAATCGATGGGGAAGAAACCTAACACTGAGGAGGGGGCGCAGCGCTGAGGAAAGGAGGAATGCGTGGGCTAGTAAGATCTCCACATCACCTTCGCTGTACTTTTTAAATTCATTTTCATTGAATTTGATTATTCATCTCGTGAAGAGCACATAGACTGTCACATTAGTTGTGGCTTCGAAGGAATCATTGCAAAACGTTTACCACCCCCTCCCCCCATCCCAGGTGGATCTCTTCTTCTAGGTGTAAATCCGCCAATAGAAGGGAAGTCCACCTGTTTTAGAATCCTCCCGAAGGGGGGGGGGGGGGGGGCATCCACCTGACTCGAAGTACACGTGTGCGAATAATCAGACAGATTTCCACCAGATGGGACATCCACCTGGTTCCAAATCCATCTATCCACCTTGTCGTTCAACCATGCGGATGTAGACGGAAGTTTTTTAAAGAAAGCTGAAAATATGCACAACTGGAACTCACTTCTACAATACCAATATCAGTCTGTTCTTCTCCAATCAGCAAAATTAATCAACCATTCACTGCGCGATTCGCGATGGGAGGACTGATTCCCATTTTTCAAAGGTTGGAGCATAGAAAAGTTCAATAACTTTCTAGTATGTTTCAGCAGAAAATAATGAATATTGATCAGTAGTGCTCCATTATCAATTGATGATACCCAATGCATCTACTTAGTTCGTGTTTTTCAATGACAAGCCTAAAATCAAAAGCTAGGCACATCTTGTAAGGATGGGATGCTGTGAAACTGAACACTGGCTGCATCTGACCCCATAAATTTATGAAAATGTATTTCTAATTGATATTAAACTATTGGCATGTAATTAATACATTAAACAATAGCCTTTTCTAATCAATAGGATTTGGGATATAATTTTGTTAAGCGTATCAAATATATATTATACATATTTTCGTATGATCAGATTTGGGAGAAAAATATTAACTCGTTCTGGATATTTTTTGACTTGTTAGCCTCTCCAATCGGTCATTTCTGGCGTCATGATACGTTCGAGTGAACGAGAACAGAAACATCTCCTCGTGCATCCTCGCATGAGGAGTCGTCGTACCTGAGCCTAATGGAACGTCACCCATCCATCACACCGCAGAAATATAGAGATTTCTGCCCATGTATGTCCCAGAGTGCGAGGAAGAGCAGCTGGAGGCAGAGGTAAAAAAAAAAAGTCATTCTACCTCGCTCGCTAGTTCCAAGGTTCTCTCGGGCGCTGAGCCTACACGGTTTTCCACTTTTTCTGAATGTGATGTAAAAGATAATGAGACTCATTGTCACCCATTGGGTTGTGGTCGTTTCGACGGAGGGACTATTAAAATTAAAATAAATGCTTCATCTTTTTTTGGAATGATTCCAATAAATAAAAAGGTTTTTTTATTGTCAGATGAAACCGTATTCTAGACATAATACTTAAGGTGCGACCTCGCTTTCAGGAAACGGTGAAGTCTTGTTACAGTTGAAGTCTTGTAGTTTCGTACATCATTTGCACTTGAGAGATTTATTTTACATCCATTTGTTGGTGTGATACTTAGTTGATCCATCATTGGATCAAATAGCGTCTGCAGGATAAAAATTGACGTAATTAATAGGTTCGACGAATAATGCTTATGGTGGCACCCTGCCAGGGGATGGAGGACGTTCTCCGACTGATAACATTCTGCAGCTGTGAGTGTCATCTTGGCAAAATATGGAAATATTTCACAGCTGATGGTAGCAGACATGGATGAAGAGAGCAAAATTCGAAAGAACTGCCAAACACGACGTTTCCACTCATTGATTTAACTCTCCTTTCCCTCGTCTGCACTCCCGTTCCCGTTTCCGTTTCCGTTTCCGTTCCCGTTCCCGTTCCCGTTCCCGTTCTCGTTCCCGTTCCCGTTCCCGTTCCCGCCCTCCTTCGAATCCTTCTTCTTCGGTTTCGGGATGTAAAATTGCCTTCCGTAATGATAATAGTATGGTTGCCGTAATTTCGGAAGCTTCCAGGCAAACTTGGCCAACTCCTTCCATAGTTTCTTGCCTCCTGGAGGCAAATCGTAGAGAGTGGGCGGCCGCTTTCCTCCCCAATAATATTTTTCACGGTTCCCATAGATTTCTTGAGGGGTTTTCTTGAGCTTGGGCCGGTCTTTGCCTTGGTATATGGGAACCATTGGACCGTGGTCGTATGAAATCCCGTGGGAATAACCTATCACAGGGTTTCTGCAAAGAAAATGAGATAATTCAGTTCAATGCATCTTGGCGAGCCAAGGAAAAGAAAGTAAAACTGTGGGCCTCACTGATAACGACGACGGTTCGTTCGATATTGCACACCGCGCTGACTTTGTCCATCGACACTGCTGATGACGATCGCAGCAAAAACGGCCATGCAAATCCAACTCTTCCAACTCCAGCTCTGGATTTGAATTGAAATAATCACATGGATGACAATAAACACTGAAAGTTGATTCAGTTTCGGACGAAAGCGAACCATGGTTCAAACTGCGTTCATCATACATGACAACTAACCCCAGGAACATCCTATCCTACCACTCTGACCTACCCGGAAAGCAATCGGCCTGGAAGGACTTTGTTAATTCGTTAGGGTCAGACTTTTCTCTATGAAACTTTCTACCAGAATCTGAGAAGGATATGAATATGGAAGATTGGGCTGGAAGGCATTGAAGAATCGGAACTTCACTCATATTTCACACTTTAGCCTTACACAAATGGGAATGCCTGGACATACGAGAATTGGGGAACAGAGACATTTAAGGATCTAAAGTAGAGATCTGGTTCTCTCTTGTCCAAAGTGCTTAAGTGCCTGCGTGGGAAAATCTAAGATCTGACAACAGGGGTGAGGTTCAGCATTCTTCAATTCCTCACACTGAGAGCTTCTGAGCCTGACATCACTCACATCATAAATTTTCTCGCATCACCGCTCACTAAAGAATACAGGAGAAAGGCCTTCTTATCTTCTGGATTTTTTAGGGCGAAAGCTTTCCATTGGCGGATGCAAGAGGAGAGCTAGTGGAACAAGCACCCCTATATGATTCTAGTAGGCTTTTTGCTTTGTGTGCCATAGAGATCCAAGTGACATCATGTTAAGGATTTCGGGTTTATTTCCTTTATTGACCTTTTTTTTATATTCACCCCTCTCGCTTAGCATCTCCATCAGTCCAGCTTTGGCTGCCCCCCCCCCCCATCCTCCTCCGCTCTTCCCACCTTCCATCCTTTCTCTCATATCTACCCCTTCACCTAGGAGTATTTTGATATTTGAATCCGCCTTTAGACAGTAAACATTGTGGCTTCGCCACTCTTCGCACAATTGCCAAAGGCACCAATACAGGCCTGGATGAGATGAAGGAATGGACCATGAACAGATCTATGAGGTTCCCCGCTTTGAATTTCATTTGATTAAGTGTTTCCTTCCATAATTACTAGAGATCGGATGAACCGTAAATACTTATGATTGATTCAGGTCGAGTTCGAGTTCAGGAATATTCTTCATTTTCGGATTTTGTTTAGTTCGAGTTTAATCAAGTACGGAGAACTCGAGTTTACACTTCAGTTTAGTTAAGTCCGGGTAGGTTCATTGAAAAGGACAGTAATTCGGAACAAAAAAATTTTTTGAAATTTGGACAAGAAAACCGTTGTCATTGCCTCCTTGCGACCTCAGTTTGGCATCTGCACTTCTTACGGAAAAATCATTCTTAAGAAGTTTTTTGAATATATACTACATTTTTCGCAAGGACAAGTCAATCACAAAGTAAAAAGCATTTTCCGAAGGAGATGAAGTTGCTAATACTGCCAACTGAGATAACTCTTTTATGCGTCCAGTTCGAATTTGATCACAAGAAATCGGTTACATGTGGGGTTCGAATTTATTTCCCTTTGGGAGTTCGATTTTGTTTGGAATTGGAAGAACTATGGGGAGTTCGGGTTCCTGTTCAGTCCATTTTAGGGTCTATTCCGATATGTACTTTTTCACAATATTCCCATCGAAGAAGTTTCGATTGATAGAGAATTTTGTTTGAGAACTTTACGTTTGCATCGAGATCGTGCAAGAAATTTGACTGACCATGATGGAGAGGAGAGATGATACGCAGACGATGAGAACGCTCGGACAGTGGTCACTCACTGTTAAGTAAGGAATGCACTGGAGTCCGAAATGCAGGTCAAAAGATCATAGTGGCCCGCGTAACGGACTGAACTGCTAACGGTCCCCTCCGTCCCCCCTGCTGTGGCTCGTCTTCTTCCGGATTGTCGTACTCGCAACATCACTATGGTAGTCCTCATTCGTTTTTTTTTCATTCATCCATGAATAGCGTTGGGATGTGACGATCGTGGGCAATCGTTTGTCCTCTATACCATATTCTTGGTCACGTTCTTTACAGTATCGACATTTTGGCTGCTGTGATCGTGAGTGTCGTCGATGACGTCAATCCTTTGGCAACTTGAATGGAGAATGAATCCATCCAATTACGGCTGCCTCCCTGACCAGATTCAAGATTAAATTGCTACTCCAATGCAGGCCTGACGCCTTCTTGCATTGACCATTGTGTTCACGTCCGACTCATCATCGAGTCTACCTACCAGCAGGCTTTATTTCAAAAATAGTAAATGTCTC